GGAGCGARGAWGAAAACAAGAAAGAGAAAGACCCGAAAGGAATGCGYGCGTTTAAGTTTGSGCTTGTTGAGATTGTTAAGGAGCTTCTAAAACCAGCTTGGAAAGAAGGTAAGATGAACAAAGATGGTTACAAAAACATAGTGAAGAAAGTAGTTGAGAAAGTGACTGGTACAATGCAAAGTGGAAACGTTCCTCAAACACAYGAGAAGATTGACCATTATCTATCCGCTTCGAAACCAAAGCTTACCAAGCTCGTTCAGGTACCTTCATACATAAATCTTAATCTCTGCTTTCTAAAACTTAATCGACCGCAAACACACGATGATCCTAACCGTTGTTTTTTCTTTCTATGTCTTCAATCTCCAGGCATACATCAGCAAAGTCAAGAAGAACTAATTTAAATTGGACTCTCATGTTTTTCTGAGTATGGTCTCATCTATTGCCATCTTCATAGAGAGATCTGCAAGTAAAAAAATGTTGTAACTGTATTCTCTTACCTGCTTAATCTTTTGAGGAAGATAAGATGATCAGGTGAGTTCTCTTGTTGTCCCCAATTTTCAGTTTTGTAGATATACCTTAGAGATTTTGTCCTCATTTTTTTAAAAAAATGTTTCTGACATAATGTCATGTTCCAATCTGAGAGAGATCAAATGTTTGCGTTTATGTCTTTTTATAGAAATCTTAGACCAATTTCAGTGAGATACTCATCTCTTTGTGCCCTTTTGTTGTTTGCAGCTTCTTTTTGTTCTTCGTATGTAATTTATCAAAATTAAAAATGAAATTGCCAAAGTTGAGCAAATTGTTCGCAAGGGTAAAGACTGACGCAGCAGAAACTGGAGTATACATTTGTGTACGTACAATGGCTCTCTTAACCGGTTTAAACCGGCCTGTACCGTCGATCCCGCCATTTACCTCTTCTATTCCCTGAATAAAAAAAATTGGGAATTTGATGAGAAATTAAAAAGGGAAATTGGTTAATATAACCAAGAAAAATAAAGGAAACATAATATGTATGCAAAACACCCTATATATAAATCATATCCA